CTCTGTCTCTCTTGCTATTTTTGTCTGTCCCCTCCCCGCAATTCACCCCCCTCTACCCCCCTCCCCCCACACTGTTCAGAACATAAAGGAGAGGACTACTTCTACACAATCTGTGTTGAAATACACACTCCATAACAATGACTGTTCTGACTCTATTCTTTCCCTCTGTTGTTCCTGTCTGTTTGTCTTACTTTTCCTAACACAAAATGACAGCTATTGTGTGTATGGATGTGCTTCTGCTTACTCCAGCAAAAGAATTTTTTTATTGTACCATCTGGCGAGGGGAGTAAACCGGTGTTCCTTCCTTGCGTCCCCAGAAACTGACAGTTATCCCCCCTTCTGCCTTCTACTGTGACGAGCACAGACACATGGTGGAGAACTATATACGCTTCTGTTTTATAAAGGTAAGCTCTCACGATGAGATACAGTAGCGTGTTTTTGGAACCTATGCGAGCACAGACACATGGTAGAGAACTATATACGCTTCTGTTTTATAAAGGTAAGCTCTCACGATGAGATACATTAGCATGTTTTTGGAACCTATGCGAACACTATACGGGGGATAAAAATTCTGCAGGGATACGCTTTCAGTTATTTTGTTTCTTACTCCACAGTTGGTTTCATGCCACTACAGTTAGAATTTTAATTCTGCAAGAGTGTAGTAGGTTCGAAACTTTTAATTAAACTAGGATTGCTCAAAATCATCGAAAATGTGACTCTTTTGGTTTTTTATCCCCTGTATTTGTCATGTTTTGATTTTAGTTTTTTTTTTGTTGGTTGTTTGTTTTTTGTTTTTTTGTTCATTTGGCTTAATCCACTGGTGCCTCCAGTCAGCACACGATGCAGGACTCTGTATGTACCGGGAGTGGCACGATAAATTATCAGACTCAATGGTAGTGACACTAAATTCAATCACCTGTGCTATTCTATGTGAACTTCTTAGAAAGTATAAAATGGAAAGATGATCTTGGGAAGTGGAGCAGGACTTTCGTCATTTTATCATATTGACTATATAATTAAAGCTGTCAGTCGATTTTGAATTCATCTTTCTTTTTCTTTCTGAAGCTTGTTGGTTGTGTTGTTTGGTTTGCCTGCTTCTGTTTTTTGGGGGGTTTTTTCGGGTGAGGGGTTATGATGGGGAGCTGTCTTTTTTGTGTTTTTTAGCTTTAATTTGTTTTCTAACTCCCCCCCCCAGCTGTTAGTGGCTGTTGATAAATTATATTCATGTTGATGGACATGTTTGCTTTTCCTTCTCAAATAGAGCGTGTGGGTGGTTTGCAAGTGCTCTGGTGTGGTTTACTTCTTTTTTCCTATCAAACATCTATTGTCCTTATCTCTTCTCCTTCTTTTTTTGTGTTTGTACTCTCTTGTAACGCCTCTTATGTTCCGCACTTATATGACCTTATTGTTTCAAATGCTGTAAAACATTTACCAAAACAAAACAAAATCAAACGTCTTACATTTGTTTTTCGCTCACAGGAGGACTCTACTCTGGAGAAGGCGAGCAAAATCCTGCAAGGGTTCAAAGGTTGACATCAAGGTCATTCAGTCATCTTTTGTTGAGTGTTATCAGACATCCTGATATTTATTATCTCACCTTGTTTCAACTGACTCCTTATTTATAGAGAGAGCAATATATAAATATTATATATACAAGTTTGTTTGGGTTTTTTTTCGATAAGGAAGCTGTACATGTGGATCTTGTACTGCTCCCATGTTCGTAATATGCAAACAAAATGTTTTGTTATAAGTTTTAAATTGTTCTATTAGATCTGAAGTAGGACAAAAATGCTCAATTTTGTTACCAGATTTTACAGGGCTTTAAGTGCAACGACTGTTGTAGTGGGAGATGCCTGAAATCATTGTTTGATCTTGGAAGAAAAATTATTCAGAAGTTTTTAAATGTGTGAACCAGGGTTGCTTTACAATGTGTTGTACTTTTTGAAAAATACAGTTCAGTTTTGCGTTTTATGAACCCACCATGTTTTTTTTTAGGGAATTTATTATTCTGTTTTTCTTCACTTTGTATTTACCAAGCATATTTATTATAGGAAGTTACAATTCAGTTTTTCTTTGTATGAATCTAGAATGTTTGTGACAAACAGTTTCTATGCAGTTTATTTTTTTGTGTATGTGAACAAAGCATGCTTATAATGAGAAAAAAAAAGTGTTTTGAATTCCAAGTTTTTATGTAAATATAATATTAATGTTTTCCCCTACAGGGGCAACCTTACTAATTGGGCTCCGACTGACCTGCATGAATGGACAAACATCTTTTTCACTCTTTACCAAATTGTGGCTAGTGTGGAATATGATACTCATAGTTCCCAGTATGTATTAGTAGTATTACATTTCGTTTCAGTCATCAGGGATAAGCCGTTTATTCCCTTTATTTTCTTGGTAGCATCATTATATTTATTCATTCTGAACAACAAAAAGTCTGTCAAGCAGATCATATATGAATGTCATGTTGCGACCACGTAAGTTGAGAGATGTGTTATGAAGAATACAGAAATTGTGCTGGAGAAATTTCTAGTTGATGTCACCTTGTTGTCATCTTGTTGCTGTCGCCTTGTTGCAATGTTATGTATCTGGGGATGGAAGTGTGAATTACATTAGGCTGGGCAGTTGGTTGGAGGGTGTCACTGGTATACTTCCTTTCTCTCTCTCTGTCATTTCTGTCTGTGGTTAGTTGAAGGATGTCAGTTGTAGGTCCTACTTCTCTTTGCTCCCTTGGTCGTTTCTGTCAGTGTGTACGGTTGGAGGGTGATACTGGTAGTAGGCCTACCTACTTTTTTTTTTTCTTACACTTTTGTTGTTTATGTCTGTCTTTGTTAAGTGGTTCGAAGATTCTAAAGGTAGTTGGTAGGTCTTACTTTTTGTCTTTCCCTCATGTTGTTTCTGTCTGGTTTTACTTTTTCTCAGCACTGGAAGACTGTTATTGTATCAATATAATATGTGTCTCTTTTCTCAAACTGAACTGAACCAGTCGTACAGAAAATTTTGTCTGTCAGAGTCGGACTGTTCTATGTTCAATACCACAGAATGCTCTGTCTCCAATATATTGTCTGCTTCAGATAGAACATTTTGACTGTCAGAGCCAGAGCGTTCTATTTTCAATGTCTTTATATGGTACTGTTCTTCAGATAGAAGGTTTTTGACTCTGCCTGTCAGTCTGGCAAGTATCCCCAGGTGTTGTGAGTGTGCTGGGTCAGGGATTATTGGGTTATCTTATGGACATGACCATTATACCTTGTGTCCTGTTGCCATAGCAAACTGATGATATTACTGTATCCTCTGGGGGTGGGGGGCGGGGTGTATGAGAAAATGTGTTATCTCCAGAATTAAGATGTCAAGCTTTTTCCTCTAAAAGGAATCTAACATAAAATTTTCACTGTTTTAGTGAAAATATTTTGTTTTAAAATGTGCCTTGTTGCCTTCATGAACTGTTTGAATATATCGGTAACAAAGTAATACAGTAAATATTTGAATATTGCCAATCGGAGAGTTTTTGGGACACAACCTTATGTTATTCAGTGGCTCTTTAGTACTGGTGTAGTTACTTGTTATTGTGATAAACAGTTAGTTTGCAACATGTGATTGTGAAGGGTTTTTTGACAAAATGGCTCATCTCCAATATTTGGACTTACACATTTTTTTCCACTTTGGTTAACAGCGACATATTTAGTTTTTCCTGCTGAAAAATACAATGTATTTTTGCACAAATGTATAGCTGCAACAGATAAATTTTTACCATGCTTTGATTGAGGTTTTTTTCTCTACCTCCACATCATGCAGATCATGGGTCAAATCATTAGCTAATCAATGGTTACCATGACAAGGCACGAACTGTGTTGTTATAAATATAATCAATGGTTACCGTGACAACATAAAAGGATGTTGCTATAATCAAGGTTACTTTGACTACGTAAATACTGAGTTGTTATAAATATAAGCATTGGTTACCGTGACAACATAAATACATGTTTTTGCTTTAATTAACTGTCACAATGACAATGCATACGGTGTAGCTATAATCAAGGAAGGGTTACCGTGACAACATTACATACTGTGTTGCTTTTATCTAGGGTTACCGTGACAACGTAAACACTGTGTTGTTATAATCAAGGGTTGCCGTGACAATGTACACACTGTTGCTATAACCATAATCAAGGGTTGCCGTGACAACGTTACCTACAGTGTTGCTTTATTCAAGGGTTGCCGTGACAACATTTTATTACTGTGTTGCTGGACTCGGTGCCATTGTTGCAAAGTGTGCCATGAATGTTAATTACATGTTGTTGATGGATGTTTGTGTCAATCTCTGGACAAATGTGATGTCTTTTTTGTCTCTTCCCTGGTTTTGTTGTTCAAAACTCGGTGCCAGTATCGGAATAAAAAAAAAGTTTGCAAAGATGTGACAGAGTAATCTCTCTTTTGTGTGGACTTGTCTCCCCGTAGCGTACAGGTCCTCTTGGGTGGTTGGAGGGTGTCACCATGGTAGGTCCTTTTTCTTTTCTTTCACTCTTTTGTTTGTGCCTGTGTGGGTGGTTGGAGGCTGTCGCTACGGGAGGTGTTACTTCTTTTCTTTCCCTCTGTTGTTTGTGCCTGTGTGGGTGGTTAAAGGATGTCAGTAGTAGTAGCAGGTCCTACTTCTATTCTTTCCTTCTGTTATTTCCTGGTCTGTCTGTCTGTCCTTTTTAAAATCTGCACTACATGCTACGTGGGTGGTTGGCAGGTGCTCTGGTGTGGTTTGCTCCTTCTTTCCTATCGAACATCTATCGTCCTTTTTGTTTATTACTCTCTTGCAACACCTCTTATCTTCGGCACTTATGACCTTATTGTGTTGCAAGTGCTGTAAAACTCTTACAAAACCGAAGAAAAAGAAGACATGATTTTATCGATGCGAACCAAAGTGTTTTGCGCAGCTCACTTCCAGCTAATGTCGATGTGGATGTGTGCGTCTCATGCTATTTCAACAATGTCAGAGGGAGAGAGAGAGTGTGTATTTGTGTGTGAGTAAGAGGGAGTTTGTGTGGTGTGGTGGGGGGAGGGGGTAGCGTATTTATCATAAGCCCTACAGGTGTAGTCTATGTCTGTTCATTAACATCTATGACGTAGGCGTAGTGATGAGAAAAGTGAAGGGGTGGGAGGGCGGTATGTGTGTGTGTGTGTGTGTGTGTGTGTGTGTGTGTGTGTGTATGGTAGTGCTGGGCGGCGAGGTTCCCGGTTATTGAAAGCTAGGAATCGTAGGAATCTACTCCAAACCCAATTACTTACTTTCCAATGATGGGATTTCTTCCTGTGGTTACCTGGTAGCTCCGAACATCTTCAGGATTTAGGAAAACCTTGATTTCGGAACACAACGAAGCATCAATAAAAAAAAAAAAAAGAAGATTTTACTGATTAAAGTAACAGGTAACGGCTGGTTTACGTAAAAAGGAGTCGGAACTTTTCTTTCGTAGCATTAGTCTTGGGAATCGGTTCCCGACTAGATTCTTCGCACAGCTCTAGTGTATGGGGGGGGGGTGTCCTGTATAATGATTACATTTGGTTAGCGTTATTAACACCTATTGTTAACTTATCTGTCTTTCTGTCTGTCTCTATCTCTGACTCGGTCTGTTTGTCTGTCTGTCTGCCCCTCTCTCTATGAGTGTTTGGCGGGTGGTATGGTATACTCCTTCTTTCCTATCAAACTTCTATCGCCCTTATCTCTTCTTATTTTTGTGTTTGTTACTCTCTTGTTACACAGTAATTTTCGGTTGGCCCTACTTATAATAGGACCTTACCGTGTTGCAAGTGCCGTGAAACTCTTTACTAAACCTAATTACTAAACCTAATCTCTCTCTCTCTCTCTCTCTCTCTCTCTCTCTCTCTCTCTCTC